GACTGATCTGCCTCGCCTGGGAAGAGCGCAATGATGGTGCCAACTTGGGCCAGTGAAGCAGTGTCCTCCACAACTAGACTGAAGAACAAAAGGATGGCAATTTGTCTGTTCCCCTTCCCCCAATTCCCCAATAAAAATCTTAAAAAAAAAAAAAAAGATGCTTTGCTAGTAGGTTTGCTAAGGTTTTTAATGGCTCGTTAATTTTCAATATTTTTCTCTTCTTTCCATTTTCCAATAACAGCATGTGAGGATATAAGTTCCCCCTAAGTATCTCTTTAGCTCCATCATATGAATTTTAGTATGTAGAGAAAACAACATGGACAAAGATGCAGATGTGGGGGCATTCCTGGGGGTTCAGGATCAGCAAGGAGCTTATATGGCTACATAGTTTCTAATTTTCAGTATAATTTGCTCTCTGACCCTGAGTTATTAGAAGTGTTTTTATAATGCCCAAATGTATGTTTTGTTTACATTATCCTGTTGCTATAAGTTTCTAAGCTGCATCATGGTCAGAAAATATGAATAATATGGTACCGGTCTTTTTGTATTTGTTGAGACTCGTTTTGTGTCCTACCGCATGGCCAACTTTTGTACATATTCTATGTATATTTTAAAAAATGAATAGTCTCTAATCATTAGATCTAGAGTTGAAGATATTCCTATTGGATCAACATTGGGCTATTGTGAATAATAAATTTGAAGACACCTTTAATGCTTGCATCACTTAGGAAATTCCAAGGGTTTTAGGAGCTCTGTGCCAGCAATGGGGGTGAAGGCCAAATATAGACTTCTTATTATAAATCACAATATCACAATCATCCACTGGTAACAACGGACAAATTACCATTTCTAAGCCTCGTTAACTCATTTGTGAAATAATAGTACTCATCTCATTGGAAAGATTAAATACATTCAAAGAGCTTAGCACACAGCACGGGAGTCATGGAGATGCACTGCCCAAGCCTCCTTTCAAGGATTTGCTGCCCAGCTTCAGAGTGCCACCCCCGCTGAGGTGACCCCCTTTCCAAGGCTATCTGATGACCGAGGAAGAAGGGTGGGAATGGATAGAGGCTTGGTCATTTCTGCCTGATGTGGGACACTAATGGACAATACTCATGCTACAATTTCCCACCAGAGTGGCCAAGAGCTTTGGGGGCCTGCATCGCAGACTGACTTCTTCTTCTCCCCTTCATAGGTGGTGATTCCTGATACCCCAGACTCTGTCTCCAGGTCTGCTTCCGGAGAACCTAACCTGTAACACATAGTATCCAGCAGACAGTAAGCACCCAATGTTAGCTATTGTTCATTTCTGTTGTTGTTCTTGCATTAAAATAGGAGCCAGAATCTAAAGTTGGGCATTTGGTGCCTAACCCATCAACCCCTGCTCTGCAAGTGCTTAGTGTTGTACTAACCCTACATTGTGCTAATATCTTGGAAACACCCTTTATTATGATCTGAATGTTTGTATCCCCTCAAAATTTGTATGTTGAAATCCTAACCCACCAATATAATGGTATTAGGAGGTAAGGCCTTTGGGGTATAATCAGGCCATAAGGGTGTAGCCCTCATGAATGGGGTTAGTGCCCTTATAAAAGAGGCTCCAGAGAGCTCCCTTGCCTCTCCCACCATGTGAGGATATGAGAAGGGGGCCATCTGCAACCCAGAAGAGGGCCAGCCCTCACCAGAACCAGCCCATGCTCACGCTGGCACCCTGACCTCAGACTTCCAGCCTCCAGAACTGTAAGAAATAAATTTCTGTTGTTTAAAGCCACCCAGTCTATGGCATTTTGTTGTAGCAGCTCCAATCTAAGACACCCTCCCTCTGACTTTAAGTTCCTGGAGGGCAGGAGCCCCATTTCAAACTTCCTTCTTTCCTCTACTGATTTGCGTACTCACACATAATAGGCACACTGCTTGGATCTGTTGATTTTTCATTTTCCTGGATTGAGAAGTCCAGCATGATATTTTCAATAGCTGAAATCTCTTCCAATGTGTCTAATCTAAGTATGTTTATATTATCCCAGGCTCACTCATTATGTGATACACCTGCTCTCCCCACATCACCATCCCCCAGCCAGCAGTGACTGGGGACTCTCTAGTCATCTTCCCAGGCTTGGCATTGCTGTGGCACTGCTCGGACTCATCGCATGACAGCAGGGATTGAAGATAAGGGAGAAGTGGACCATACAGGGGGACACTGATAATCAGAACTTCTGAAGTCACCTTGTCTGTCTGTTTTACTTTGCAGATGGAAAATGAGGGGCCTGTGTCTCCAGAGCCATGAAACCAGCAGGAGGCTGAAGTGAGACCTGGAACCAGGTTTCCTGATTCCCAGTCAGGACCAGCCCCGACTTGATTCATTACATCATCTCCCTACTTGATCTTGGTGGAATCATGCATAGGTGATGTTTTGATTTGTAGATTGCCTGTCAAGGTTCTGAAGGAACTAGTCAAGGGAAATGAGGGCTTGGGTGTCATCTCTCAATGAAGCCCTCCCGGAGCCCAACTTGAAGCATTTATTCTCTGAACGTCCCTCTGTATCTGTACCCCGCAGTTATAGTCCTTTTTCTCTTTTTGTAGTTCATATTGTCAGTTTTTAAGTTTTTTATTACATTTATTGGGATGACTTGGTGAGTAAAGTTATATAGGTTTCAAGTGTACATTTCTATACTACATCATCTATATATTGCACTGTGTTCACACCACAGAGTATTTGTTTCAAAAAGGCTGAACCTGGTTCATCTGGACCTGCTCTCTCTCCACATATAAGAAAACTTACCAGCTCCCGTAATAAATCAAGTCCATTCCTTCAAGGGGAAATTCCTGTTTAAAACTCAGGTTCCCTAAGGGAATCCAATGCTGAAAATGCAGGCTCATTTTCAGCTGATCCAACCCAGACTCAACATCTTTCAATTTCCTGCCACACAGCAAAGACCCAGGCCGACATTTCACCCAGGGCTCCTCAGCAGCTCAGGTCTGTGTAAGGCGAGGCCAGATAAGAGCCTCATAAAATGCAGGTCTCTTGCTTTCAGCAGAGGAGGGGGTATGGTGGGGGTAGGGCTGCTGGCTGCTGGGGTGTTTCCTACTTCCTGCCTCCCTGAGAACCTGGTCTGTCCTCACTCTTTGTTCAAACTGTTGCTGCTCTGGGCCTTGCTCCCAACGCCTTTTCCTGGTTGGCTCAGCTGCTGACTTCCTGCGAGCTGTGAACCTACCACTGTGGCAGGTCTTCTACCTGTTCCTAGCCCTGCACTCAGCCTCAAAGCCTGTCCCCACTCCCTGTCCCAGGGTAGGGCAAACACCAAGCATGTAGCAGGCACTGAGTTAAGTACTGGTGCCAGACTAAAATATGGTATGATGACATAGGCAGAGGAAATTGCGTCATTTAAACAAACAGGCAAGGGGAAAGTAAACGGTGGCACACTCCTGAAACCAAGGCCATTCGAAGGACAGGCCTGCCCCAGAACAGCGTGAATGTGAGCGCCATCAGTGAGACTGACCAGCTGTCACTATAGCTCAGCGCCTGTGAAAGCCCCCAGGGTGTAAATGTTGGCCGTGGGGGTGGGGAGGCATGAAGGACCAAGAAACTCTACAACCTAAAGAAGAGACAAGGACAAGCACTCGGGGTTTTTACTTTTAATTTTATTTACCAGATAAAAAAGAAAAAATAGTGATTGTTTCTCTTCACCCCAACATTTCAGTTTACCAAGGTCAGCTGGGAGAGGGATCTGTTGAAAGGTGATTTGTGCTGCTGGCCTGGAGCAAGCTTTTCCCCTCTGCTCCCCGCCACCTCAGCGGGGGGCCCAGGGAAGGGCTCAGGCAGCACTTGCTCTGTGGCAGCAGAGTGGCAGTGTGGCTGTCACCTTCTCTTCTCCCCGCTGCCACAGCATTCAGACCCTCTCCCGGCTGTCCCCCTACACCACCCTCCCCTCCCCCACTCATCAAAGCAAGTGGGTCGATGGGGCTTGAGGAGGCAGGGACAGGTGGAGGGCAGGACCCGGAAGCACGCGCCCGTCCGCAGAAGGCCCCGGGCTTCTGCTCTATTGCACAGCCTGACTCAGGCCCCCTGCCCGGGGCAGCGGGCACTAAGCAAATGCTCTGAAATCCAAAGAACCCGTTGTGGTGTGCCAGGCTCAAGAAGGGGAGGTGCGCTGTTGTGTGGCTTGTTCTGACATAAATAAAGTTATGTTTCAATGATTCCATGATGGGACAAGGCAAAGATTATGCCTCTTTAAAAAAGCACATGGGGTTTGGACACTCAGGGCCCTGCAGTCACCTGGGCTGCTCCCCCTCAAGTTCACAAGTCCAGCGGTAACACTTTCTCCAGTCAGGAGATCTTCTGCATAAGATAGAAGAGGCAGAAACAGCCACCAACCTCCTCTCCAAATGGATGACTCTGAGCCACTCAGGGGTGACCTCTTTCCTGAACACCTGGAGAATCTGACAAATGACCCTAGAGAAAAAAAATCTTTTAAACTGTATGTTTCTCCATAAAGTGGCAGCTGTTTGATTCTCATTCTTCTCATTACCAACGAAAATAGAGTGGGACTGGAACCAGTCGTTTAACTGGCCTTACAGACAATACATTCCTCTAAGAAACAGTGGGGGGTGGGGGGGAGAGGGCTGATTCTGATTTAGCAAAGCTGCAAATCTTTCACCTTCATTGGCTGGAACAAAGCTGGTGGGTGAAGACAAACCTAAGAGAGCCAACGGCAAGAACTGCAGGCTATGAGACGACGGGTCAAACACAGAACTGTATAAATTGTGGCACTATAAAGATGAGAAGGCAGGTCCATGACACCCGCTGGGAGCAAGCCTTTGGAGCACGCTTCCAGAAACTGTTATCTGTCCTGTAGTAAGTGGTAGCATCCAGATAAATCAGAGTGGTTGTCCTTCCTCCTCTTCCCCACCAGTTCTGAGAGTTTTTCATTTAAATAACTATGTACACGCATACAAGCCTGGCCTCTCTTTTACACGAGGGTCCTTCACTTGAGGGTCCTAGATGGCTTTAGAGAGTCGGTTCCAATTGCCTTTTTGGGGATTTGCTGCTTGGGACCAAACCTGCAAAGAGAAAACACGAAGAACACTGTATCAGGCAGATCTTTAAGACAGAAATCATCCCAGTGTTTAAGGGATCGAGTCTTCATATAAATAAATAATGAGCCCACAGCTCCCTCACTGGGTTCTGGTTTCCTGGCAAATTGAGGAATTGGGCTGGGACTCATCAACCTATGTGGACACTATCAGACAGAGGGCCCCATGCCCACCAGCAACCCTGGGAATACAGCTCTGTACCTCCCTCTGATAAGGACAGTTTCTCAAGTTCAGCTTCAAGTTCAGCATCCGAGATCCTAGGGTTAGGCACACTGTTGGTATAAAACGTCGGGCAGGCAGATCCAATGTGTCTGCCAGGCAGATCCAAAGGTTCTTTGGTGGTATCCTGAAGAAGGATGTCCAATTCCTTCTCCAGCTCCTCACTGTCAAAATCTAGAAAGAAAAGACGACATAAGGACACATTAAGTCCAGGGAGGAATTGCATTTATGAGTCATAGGACTCAGAAGCAAAACTCAGCTCAGCTTTATAAAAGATGTCCAGGCGTCCTTGTAGGTTAAAAAAAAAAAATCATGTGATGTGCTGTATACCTGAAACTAATATAAAATAGTATTGAATGTCAACTATAACTAAAATATGTACGTATGGTCACTGGATGTAAAGTACGGCATAGGGAATGCAGTCAATGGTATTGTAATAGCTAATGGACAGTGTCAGATGGGAAGTAGTAGACTTGTTGGGGTTATCGCTTTGTGAGGTGTGTCAATGTCTAATCATTAGCTTGTTTGTACACCTGAAACTAATAAAAATAAATAAATAAAAGGGAAAAAAATCATGTGAGTTGGGAGGCAGAGGACACCTTCAAGCAAATATTCTTTTTCCATACACAGAGCTAAGTTGTCAAGGAGGTCTATTCTGCTAAGGCCACGGAACTGACCCTGCTTCCTCTTACCCTTGAAGCAGTATCTTCCAGTCTGAAGCCTAGTCAGTAAGGAACGCTGGAGCACAGAGGGGTCATGAGTACAGACCGTCAAGGCGGAAACGACAAGTCCCCCAACTACTCCTGTGGATAAGCCCCAGGTAGAGAGGAGGGGAAGAGAGCCCTGCCTGCACCAAGAAAGGCAGATCCATGACCAAACCTGCCACAGCACATGGAGGTGAAGTCCTCTTAGGAAGGAAGGAAGGGAGAGAGGGAGGAAGGAAAAAAAAGGATCGCCTTGTAACTCACCTAAGCCATTGGTTACCCCGCCAGCCAGAGTCTGAGAAACTTCATCCTGGGTGTCACACAGCTGTAAGGGGAGAAGCACGAGGCCTTGAATTCTGAGTGGGGTCTCTGAGGACCTCAGTCTTTGGGTCTCAATGTTCAGGGTTACAAAGTAACACTGCCCCATCTGAGAATCAGGGAACGCTTCAAGTTCAAAAGGTGGAGTCAAGTTTGGGAAAAGAGGAAGCACGACAAAGTCCCACGTGTTCTCAGTAATGTGCTTCTGGAGTGCCCCTTCCTCCCAGCCTCCTCCCGTACCTCTTGGATCTGATCTACGAGGCTCTCTGCCTTTTCCACTGTGACATCCTTCATGGAGAGTTTTAGGGCTCCTACCCCAGCCTGATAGGCATTGAAAACCTAAAGAGAAAGCACCTGTCAGTGCAAATGAAGAACACTGGGCAATACATACAATACTGTTTCATTTCCAAAAGACAGCTTTGGTTGTTTTTTGGGTTTTTTTTTTGCCACCCATGCTTGATGCACTCCATGGGCACTGAGGCCAAAACTTCCCAACAGAAGAGGCAAAGGCAATCCCAACCATATGCTGAAAGAAGCCAGGCCTCCTCCAAACAACAGAGGGAATGAGGAGTCGATGCAGAAGAGGCCGGCCAAGAGAGGGAGCACAGGGGCAGCGGCTACCATCTGATCTGTCTGGGAGGCATAGATCCGGTCCAGGATGCCTTGAACGGTGTCCAGCTTGGCATGCAGGGCCTCGATGCGCTTCTCCGTCCGTTGTTTCGATTTGAGAGACCTCAGGGCCTAGAGGGGCATGGAGACCTGGTCAGGGTCAGACCGGGCAGGCCAAAGGGCCAAAGAAAGATAGCCTTTCCCAGATGCTAAAACAACCAGCCTGAGCCTCCTACCATCTCACTTATAAAATAAACTGTGGTGCCTGGGCCATCCACAGACTGTTCCCCTCAAGCCCCAGATTCCTCTCTGAACTGCTGGGGCACCTCTCACTGCCGGGTCAGGGCCCAACCACACAGCTGGAGGGAAGGAGAAAACTCACCAGCTGCTTCTTCCCTGCTCGGCACGCCCGGCGGGCGTCCTCTTTACACCTATGAAACAAAGGGACAGATCGAGATGACAGTGCCGTAGGATGGGGTGGCAGGGTCCTTACGAGCCCCCACGAGGAGCACTTAGGTAAGGTACTTTCAGATCTAAAGATCAAATCCACTCCACCCAGCGGCAAGAAAAATGCCCAACAGCCCACTGTCAAACTCTTGCAGCAAGATGAGCTAGAAGCTTGAACACCTGCACGTGGGGAAGACAAACGAAGTTTAACCCACAGGTAGAGAGGGCATGCCAACAAGGCACCTGAAAAACAGATTCCCATTTTGGGAGCCAGGAGATCAGGAATTGATTCTTAACATCAACAATGGCCTTGGACATATTCCTTGGGTTTCTTCCACTGTGAGATGGAGTAAACATGTATATTTTTATTCAGTGTCTACATATCCTACTTTTCAGAGAAGTGTTCATGTGCCTGTAGCAGCGATGACTTGTAAGGTCATCCAAGGGGAACAGCAGGAGTCCCTCAGAGCTCTCCGGAAGGCAGAGACTTGTCTTGTTCACTACTGTATGCCCAAGTCCCCAAGACAAGGCCTGCCTCAGTAAACACTGGTTAAATGGACACTGGCTTGGGAGAGCATAAATGTAACGTTAACAGTCCTAATCTTTGGAGGGAGAATTAAAATTCATTTTTTCTCCTTTCTGATATTCTGTGCTTTCCATGATTACTGTATTGAGCAGTCAGTAGTTCTGTAATTAGTAAAATAATAATAATAATAATAATAATAATAATAATAACCTTTTTTTTTTAGAGAGCCTATGGACACCAATGCTTGGCCAGCTCTGAGGGCCAGCCACGGTGTGGGTCGGGGGCGTTCAGCTCAGCGGGAGTTACCTCTCTGCTTCCTGGGATAAGGACTCCACTTTGCGGGACAGCAGCTGTTCACTCTGCATCAGCTGGTACACCCCAACATCTACGTCGTTGACAGGAGAGACCTTGGCATGTGGCCCCCGGGCAAACTTCACAATCTGAGGGACAGGGACAAATTACTGCTGCCCCTACCACAAGTGCTGAGACATCCCCAGGCAGGAAGGCTGGCGGGCATGCCAGGAAATGCTCAGTAAGTCATCGGGGAGTCAGTGAGTGAAGGGCTGAACTCGCATACCTTTTCCCCGTTCTGCTCGAGGACTGTGACTCTCTTCTCCTTCTGCAGCTGCAGCAACACCAAGTAGAAGGTCCTCTCGTCCGGACAGGAGCCCGCACAGAGGGTGCTCAGCTCCGACAGGGCCACCACAGGGTGGGAGGAGAGAGGGGAGTTCTGATACAGACGATACACCTCCTCAGCCTTCTCCTGCGGGGAAGGCAAAACATGCTCACAGGCCCTCACCGCCGGGCACGGGATCCAGTGAGTCCTGACCCGTGCTTCCAAAAGAGTCGCACTGGGCAGGAGCAGGGGGCACCGACCCCATCTTCCCTAATGTGGCAGCTTTGGGAAAGAAAAAGGGTTTGTGTTTTTTTAAACCTTGGAGGCAAGTGTGGTGAATATGGATGAAATGAGGTGCATGATATATTGGGAGCCAGCTCTGTGCCTGCACGTCCATCTGGGACCATGTTTGGGTCTCTCCCTGGCCCAGGGTTCCCCAAGGGAAGGACGAGGCGGTGTGGTGTGTGGAATGGTCACAAACAAGAGCTGGAGCGGGGTTTCAGCCCAGCGTGTGCAACCCGGGACAAGTCAGTCTCACTGGTCCTCAGCATCCCACTCACAAACTGGAGAACGTGGATGAAATGACATTGAAATTCCCTCCCATTCCTGGTCTCTCCATTTTTATGCCAATTGGCAATACGGCAAACGAGAACAAACGACAACATTCCCAAGTTTATATAGCATCTCAGGAGAACAGTATGTGACAAACAGGTGGAATAGGGTTTTTGTGACAAGTCTAAGACATAAAGGTTCCAAGAAACAAAGCCACCGTATTCCTCCTACATGGAAATCATTCTCTCAGCCTTCCTCAAATAAGAAATATTGACTGAGGTATGCACGAAATGCTACGAAAATATAGGGAAAGGATACCCAGGAGGTCAGAGGTTGTCCAGAAACAAATGGTTTCCAGAGCAGAATCCTGAAGAGTAAGTTTCTAGGTGAAGCAGGTGGGAAGGGCATCTCAGGAAGAGCGGCGACCATGAGCAATGGCATGGAGTGTGAGTCAACATGGGGAGGGCAGATGCGGACGGGAAGGGGACGGGGGAGAAGCTCTTCTATCTTGTACCAAGTGGAATATCTTCTATGCTGTCCCTCATTCGGCAGATGGTGGGAAGTCACTGAAGGGAAACGGTTAGATGAACAGATGTCTAGCTGACAACTGGGAAAGGATGGATTGTAGTTTAGACTTAGAGGCAGGAAGACCATTTATGCAAGAGGATATGAGGGTCTGAACAGGGCAACGGTCACAGGGGCAGACAAGGGATGGATTCAAACAACACTTAGAAGGTAGAGCTGGCAGTCCATGGTAACTGGGTCTGGGGTGGAAGGGGAAAGAGCAGTCGAGGATGGCTCCTGGGTGCCGGCTTGAGTGACGGGGTGGATGTGACGCTATAAGTTAGTAGCAAGATTACAGCAGGAAAAGCATATTTTAAAGGAAAAACAAAACATTCCATTTTGGACATGTTAGTTTGGGATGCTTAAGGTACATCCAAGAAGATCCGTACAGAAGGTAATTGGAGATGCAAATCTAAAGCTCAAGGAGATACAGGACAGGAGATAGAAGGTAATTAAAATCACAAGTGTAAACGAGTTATCCAAAGAAATTCAGAGGGAAAACTAATAAGCTGAAGGAAGACCAACATTTAAGAGATGAAGGCATTTCCAATACGATCCAGGAACACTGTTCAGGGAGAACCAAGAAGAACCCGTGGTGTAATGACAATAAAGTCAAGGAAATGGAAAACATTAAGGAGTTTAAATTGATAAAATGAAAGCATAAAACAATTAGAAGAGAATATTTTTTAAATATTGAGAAAATAAAAGCATAAAATAATTTGAAGAAAATATTTTAAAAATCTGATTAACCTTGAAGTAGAGGACGCCTTCCTAATAAGCAAGACCAAAAATTCAGCATCCATACGGGAAAATTTAGACATTTGACTATAGAAGTATGAAAACTTCTATATGGTAAAAGATATCATAAATAAAAATGAAAAGCAAACAAGAGACTGGAAAAAATATGTATACCCCAGTACTAAATATATATAATATCTCTATCTCTAATACATAGAGAACTCCTACAAATTAATATAAAAGATAAACAATCCAATATCAAAACAGGACCTAAATAGACAATTCATAGAAGGGGATATGTATATGGCCAGTAGATGCTCAAAAAACAAATAGGAAATATCATTTTTGTTCATCAAATAGGCAAAATTGAAAAGGCTGATTTTATCCAGTGCTGACAAGGCTGGACACTTGGATGTAGTCTTGATGAAAGTGTAAATTAGTATAAACTAAAAAGTAATTTGGCAATTTCTGTTAAAATGTAAAATGAACATATGCATTTCTAGAAATCAGTTCCATAAAAATAAAAGCAGAAGTACATAGATGTACACACAAAGCTATCAAACAAGTATTTTTTTTGTAAGAGAGTAACTGGAATGACTTTTCTGTTCATCTGTGTGCTAACTACTGCAGATATTGTGCTGTATCTATAGATTGTTATGCAGCTATCCAAAAGAAAGAAGTAGACCTATATTGCGTAGGGACCTGGAAACATGCTCGTGATATTAAAGTAGAGTGTATATGTATACATATGTATATTCCTTTATTTATTCAACAAATATTTATTGATCTACTCTGAACCAGGCACTGTTCCTGGGGTTCCAAGACCCGTGGGACTTCTCCCTTATGGTAGAAGAGACAGATAATAAATAAGTAAACAAGTAAATAAGATTTTAAAGAAGTACTGAATGTTAACAAGAAAATAAATTGGAATAATAGTGCGGAACAGGGTCTAAAGATATGTCTGTAACCACACACACACACACACACACACACACGCGCGCACACACGCACGCGCGCACACACACACGCACATACACACACGCGCACATACACACACGCGCACATACACACACGCGCACATACACACACACACACACGCACATACACACACACACGCACGCACATACACACACACACGCACGCACATACACACAAATGGGAAGGGGACGTACCTAAAAAGATGGAAATCGGATGAACAGAAAGAAAACTTTCATTTTGTTGTATAATTTTTTAAATAGCAAAATCTATGGGCAATTTTTCCTTTTTTCTGTATCTTTTCAAATAGAATATAAAGTTACTGGCTGCTTTCTGTGTCTAGACTTGGAAAAATCAATTTACCTTAGAAGTAGGCTTTCTCTGTTTTATAAGCTTTTCAGATAAGATCCTTTAGTTTCACACATGTAAACAAGTCTCTATCCCAGGAGAAAACAGTGAAGTCACCATATATTTGAAAGCAGATGTCACTGAGTAAGATTAAGTATTACGTGTTCTGTAATGATGTAGTGATGTAAACTGAGTACAGATTTAACGGTACCATGGCCCTGCAAAGCTAGAAGATTTATTTTTCTACCTAGATAGGATTGAACTACATTGCTGCCAAATATTACTGTTGGTTCTTGGACAATCTATGCAATTCCACTCCTATCCCCATCTCTGCCTTTGCTCTCAAGAGACTGTGAGTCCAACCCACATCTGTGGGGATAGATGGATCTGGCCCCCTTTGCTCCAGGTTGGAGAATACATGAGGTAAAGACTGCACAGAGGAACGGGGCTTAGCCCAGAAGCACCCAGACCATCCTGTAGTTTCTGTGGGGCCTTGGCTGAGCCCTGGAGGTAGGGCACTAGGTGGGGGGACAGCCATCCCAGTGGGGAGAAGGTGGGAGGGGTATTCCCCTGAACCAAACATGTACTCCTCAGTCAAAAATCCTGGGAGACTCGGAGAGGTGGGAGACTCTGGAGACCTCCTTCTCAGTCTGAGGTAGGGAGAGTTGGGGGTCTGTTGAGGTGAGGAGAAACTAGAGATTCATTTGGGGTGGGGGATGGGGACTCTTCGCGGGCTCCAGCTGTGTGGAAGCCTCCAGGGCCATGCAAGGGCCCTGAGGTTGGGTTTGGTCTGGGAGTTTCAAAAATAACTACCGTCTGCAGTATACTTCTGCTACCCCGTATTCAGTCAACTTTGTTCTCTCTCTCTCTCTCTCTCTCTCTCTCTCTCTCTGTCTCTCTCTCTCTCTCTCTTTCTCTCTCTCTCTCTCTCTCAAAGGTTACTGTAGCCTTGACCTCAGAAGTTTTGGTGGAGTGATGGGGCTAAAGCAGGTTTGAACTGGATTAAAGGGAGGGTAGGAAGTGAGGAAGTGGTAACAACCAAGCTTGGTCAAGGAGAAAGACAGAGCAGAAACCAGGCAAGGGCCCAGGTCCCACACAGGAGTTGAGTGGGTTTAGAGGTTGAAGCAGGAGAGCACCAAAAGAGAGGGAGATGAATATACAGCTCAGGAAGCTAATTGATAGGACAAGGGGACAGGCAGGCCAGGGACAGACTCAAGAGCACATGTGGAAGAGAAGAAAGACACTTCATCCTCTGAGCTTGGCAGGCAGATGGGCTCAGAGGAGGTTTAATTGAAGGTGGAAAGATGGAAAACTGAAGACGCTGACTCAGGAGATTCTACCTTCTCCAGGAGGTGTCTGCAGACAGTAGAGAGGGCAGAGAATGGAGGGAGTGTGTAAAGGGCTGGGAGAGGACAGGAAAACTGGGCTGTGGAGCGGCTCTGAGGGCCCTCCTCCAGCTGGGGGCTGTGAAAGCGGCCCCAGTCTTGGTGACTTTTTCCAGCAGGGGTGGAGATATGGCGTTGACCTAAGGCGGTAGATTTGCTGGTGTCTCTGGTGTGGACCGAGAGAGCTGAGAAGGAGCTAAGAGTACTGAGGAGGGAAGCAGTCAGGCATTGGTTACACACTCAAGGCTGAGTGGGAAAGGCATGCCGGGAGGAGGCTGAGTGACCAGGAGAGCAGGAAGGGCCTGGTGGCCTTTTTGATGGACATAAGGCCGTCAGTAAGCGGGAATGGGAAAGGGTTGTAGCCAGAGAGGAGGAAATCTGAACCTAGTTTACTGATTTAGGGGAAAGCAAAGCTTGAAAGTCACAAGGTCCTCAGGCATCCCAAGAAAAATCCTTGTCAGTAAACTACAGAAGGCAAAGCATTTTCTAAACATTAGCTTATCATGAATCCTCTACAAATACAGAAAATAAGCAACTGTCAATTTCAAGGCAAAATATCACCTCTAAAATGTAAAAGTCCAACTAACAAGTGAATAATGCTACAAAGTACAGAATAAGGGAGGTAGGTAAACGCAGGTATCATCTGTCACCATGTCAACAGATACACCCTTTTTCTAACCATACACAAGGAATGTGGAGGAGCCTATCATCACCTCAGATGACACCAGACCTCTCTCCCTTCTGATCACTCACCTTAAGCAGCTCCACAGCCACAAGCACCTCCTCGGCAGGAACCTTATTGTCCCCCAGCATGTTGGAAAGAGTCCACTTGAGAGGCTTCAGCAGGAAGACGCCGACCCCCCAGGAGATCCAGCTGCTGTCTACACTGGCCATGAAGTCTGACTCCCGCTGCAGCTCCCCTCGACTGCAAAGAAAGAAAAGGGCATATAGTAGGCTTAATACAATGTCCCATTCGAGTCCCCACATTCCCTTTATCCCGTAAGAGGAATCCGATCATCAGCAGCATAAATACCATTTGTTAGGCACCTACTCGGTGCCAGCTATTACGAGGAGCACTATTTACGCTCTAGCTGTAAGCCTCACAACTCTGCAAGATAGATGGTGTTAACTGGCATTTTAGTTAATGAGAAAACTGAGGGACTGAGAAGGTAAAAGAGGCCAAATCTAAATTATAATTTGGCTCCAAAACACAAGCTCGCCACTAAGACTTCAGAGGCACAGGGGGCTGCAGGGTCTATGACGAGACTTCCTTTTACAAATGGAGCTCAAAACGATAAAATGAAAATAACAATAAAGGATCACTGTCAAGTGCAAGGCATTAGGAAGAATACAAAGAATTCAGAGAAAGGATTTTCTACTATTCCCAAGCTATGGTGGAGAGAAAGCATTTCATGGTACTGGTGGTAAGTAGCTACATTTACATGGGCTAGTCACCATGCTAAAGGCTATGCAAGAAATCTCTCTTCAAATCCCACAATAAACCTAGGGACAATGAGCATCACCATTTCGTAACTGGTCAAACTGAGGCTAAAAGAGGGCACATAATTTGTCCACAGGCACTGAATTTAGCAAAGTCGCACAGGTAGCAGCACCTACAGGACCTTCCCAGGGCACCAGATACTCAGTAAAGCCCTCACCCTCCTTCATATCCTCTGCTCCAAACAGCCTGGCAGAGCCAGGATTTGAGCCCAAGCCATTTGGCCCTCAAGCAAAGCTGTTAATTAGTATGCTATGCTGCTTCTTCCTCAGAAAAACTTCAGGTCCCAGATGCCATCAAACACCAGGAAGCATCAATAGAGTGCCAGCAAACAGGAGAGCAGAAATTGAGGTACAGGTGTACCTCCAAGATATGGGTTTGGCAATAAAATGAATACTGTAATAAAAGTGGGTCATACAAATTTTTTGGTTTCCCAGTGCATACAAAAGTTATGTTTACACTACACTGTAGTCTATTAAGTGTGCAATAGTATTAAGTCTAAAAAAGCAATGTACATTCCTTAATTAAAAAATACTTTATTGCTAAAAAATGCTACCGTCACCTGAACCTGTTGGGAAAACGGTGCTGATAAACTTGCTTGATGCAAGGTTGCCTCACACCTTCAACTTGTAAAAAAGGCAATATGTGCGAAGCGTAATAAAGTGAAGCATAATAAAACGGGGTCGGCCAGTATTGGAGGTCTCTGGATCGGAAGTCATAGAGGGTGGTCCTGCTGCAATGAGGAAGCCCTGACTGTTCCTGTCCCTTACTGACCTCTTCAGCTACTGTCTCCCCTGAGTCCCACTTCAGGCATGAACTAAAACTTGGTCCACAGTAGACTTTCTCAGAAAAGAGAAGTTTCAGAAATGGCTTGTCCCATCAATGTCAGCCAGTGGAAAGGTACTAGGGAGAAGGGAGACTTTCTAATCAGGAAGAGCAGCAAGCTAAAGCAATGTATCAAAGTTGACTTTCTCCTTCATTCAGAGGGAGGTACCAGGCTAACTAGGCTGCTGTTGGTATGACATATACAATGTGAAGTGCAAATGATTTAGGATCAGAAGACCATGGTCCAGTCCCAGCATTACCTCTAACCAGCTGTGTAACACCAAGTAAGTCACTTGATCTCTCTGAGGCTCAGTTTCCTCTTCTGTCTGCTGAGGATAATTCTACATCTGGACTTCTGAGGGGGTCAGATGAAATGGCGTGTGCAAAGTCTCTGTAGACAGTCAAGTTCTGTCTATCTGTTAGATATCCATGTTATTACTGCCTCAGGTACTCCAAAACACTGCACCTGTCGCACAGGTAGCACCTACAGGACCTTTTCAAGGCCCCAATATACTCAGTAGAGCCCTCACCCTCCTTCATATCTTGTGCTCCAAAGGGCCTGTGTCAAGGAGCAGCCAAGAGAGGCCAGACACATAACCTGTGCTGGGGGCTGTTGGCAAGAGCCCTAGGACTGGGCCTCTTCTCCACGACCGCCCTCTTCTTAGCTCTGACTTTCCTTGGTTCAGAAACCTTATCTCACAGATGTCATTCAAATTTGGAAGGCCCTATGAAATAACAACATCACAGGATTCCAGTCCACACAAATCACTGTCACCTACGCTAGGCTGGCTTCTCTTCCCATCTGGATCTCATCTAAGCAGCCTATTCTGCCCTCCAATTTCCCCCATACCCCGTCTCCTTCTCCCTCCAAACACCCCTACCCCAGCCTCCTTCTTCGCCTACTGAACAAACACAGAGGCCGCTCTGGGCCAAACCCTGGGCTGGGCGCGGTGCGATGTCAAAGAACCCACCGGGTCCCTGCCCTCCGGGAGCCGTCCCCGCCCCGGGCCCGGACCCGGGCCCGCCCTCACCGCAGCAGGTCCTGCAGCACCGTGGCCAGCCCCAGCGGGACGCTGCCCTTGCGCTGAAAGGCCTCCTGCAAGTCCCGCAGACGAAGGCGCACCACCCCCTGGCGGCGGCTGTGGCTCAGAACCAACGGCGCCCAGAAGCCCATCTTGCTGTCCCAGTCGGTGCTGTTAACCTCGCGACTCCTTTTGAAGGCAGAGAACAGGAAAGACATGCGCTCCTCATCCTCCTCCCACTCAGGGGGCAGAAGGCCCGCCGAGTCTCTACCGGCCGGGGCCTCGGCCTCCCGCTCTGGGGACCACATCAGAACCCCAGCCCCGCCAAGGATCCGAACACAAGCCTGCCCCTGGTCCCCCTTCCGCCCTAGTTCCCTCCCGGCTTCCGTTCCTTGACCACCGCCTCCTCTGTCATTACGTCACCGCCACCCCCAGCGTGAAATAAGTCCCGCGCGTCTTCACGGCGCTTGCGTCGCTCCGCCCTCCCTGCGCCAGGAGACGGGATGATAATCATTTTCAGAGAGCATCAGAGCGCTTGCGCCGATCCCTGCTTCCGCAGTCTTTGTGCGGTGAGAAGGACTTCGCGCGTGCGTGCCGGTCCGCCGCGCCCTCTAAGGAATCATCGTTTGGCGAAACATTGTAGAGACGTAAATGATTATGTCTTTAACTTGTGGATTCAGATCGTGGGGCTGCGTTCCCGCTAAGGGACGCCAGAGGCGCTAGGGTCGCTCGCGTGGATCACCGTTTATCGCTCCTCGACAAGCCATTCTTCAGAGATTTAAACTTCCAAGATAGCTTCCATCTGCGATACTGTCAGCGGAAACACAGCTGTCGATCATTCAAGCTCTGTGACGGTGTATACACTGGTTTTTGAGAGGTATAAAAACTTCTATTACTCTTAACTCCCGACCTTTTGCCCTGGAATGTCCATCTGTTCCCTTAAGACGGAACTCAATTCTAATGTTTCTCAACACCGTCTCCGACTACCCTCTTTGTTGATCTCTTTCCTGGAGTACAGTTTAGCATTTACTATTTTGTGTCCTTTTCCCTAGTTTCCCGAGGGCAGGTGCAATGACCTACGTATCTTGCTATGATGTATAGTGATGCTGAAGAAATATTTCATAAACTGAAAGGTGCATAACTTGACCCTTGCCTTTAAATATCTTAGAATCCTGTTGAATGAGAGCTCATATATTATAAGATTCTCATTAAAAATTTCATGAACGGGCCGGCCGAGTGGCTCAGTTGGTTAAGAGCGCGAGCTCTAAGCAACAAGGTCTCCGGTTCAATTCCCACATGGGCCAGCGAGCTGCTCCCAGCTGAGCTGCCTACAGGTGGCAGGATGGCTCAGCTGGTGAGAACACGTGCTCCTAACAACAAGGTTGCCGGTTTGACTCCTGAATCAGATGATGGCTACGCCCACCTGCAACTAAGATTGAACACAACACCTTGAGCTGAGCGGCTGCGACCTGCCAACTGGCGGCCGGATGGCGACTGGACTTGGAGCTGAGCTAGCTGCGCCTTCCACAACTAAGATTGAAGGATAACAACTTGGCTGTCCTCTTCCCCAATTCCTCAATAAAATCTTTAAAAATATATATTTTATGAACAATGAACATGTCCATTGTTTTAAGAGTAAATTGTTTTTCTTTTTAATTGATCCATTTAAAAGGCGAAAGGTGTTTCTTGTTTAATGGAACCAGGTGACACCAAAATTTAATATGAATCTGGCCTCTGCCACTCACTGGCTGTGTGACCTTAATAATTAATAGTTAATAATTACCTACTGTTTCTGAGAAATGTTATGATGTTTGTAAAGTATCTAGCACATAGTATATAGTAGGTGTTACCACTGAGTGGCAGGATATTTAGAAGTGGGAACTCAGTGTAAGGAAGAATTTTAATAAGCATTTTAAAGGAGGGGGAGGGAAATGATTGGTTTTTACATGAATGAATGTGACAACTGATATTATGTTGTGTTATACTCCTCCCAGCATTTTCACAGTCAATATTTCAATACTCGTAACAACGACAAAGATTCTCTCCTTGACCACACTCTAGACAGGCTCTTCTGAACCCTCCTCTTGACTAGGCCTGTCAATAAACAGTAACATAGTTTCTAACAGCTCAAGGCCTCATCCCTAGGATTACCCTAGCGCCCCTTAAAATGCCTGCCTGAGAAAACTCAAGGTTGTCAAAAAACATATACTGTCTGTTCCAGCCAACATCTGAAAATAGGACCCCTGTCTCCCAGCATCTGTGGGAGGGGCAGAGTCTAACTTAGATAAATGCCAGTTAGCAAACCTAGATGGGTTTCACAGGGACCAACCACCCCTTCCTGCTTTTTGTAATTTTTCACTTCCCTGACCCTACTGAGACCCCCTCACCCTCGTCCCTGTTCCCTTATTTTCCCTTTAAAAGGCCCCGTCACCTCTACAAATGGAAGTTGAGTTCAGCTCACCCTGGACTCTTCCCTATTGGCAGTATTATATTACTGATTAAAGTCCATCTTTACCTCTTTAACTAGTGTCCAGCTTTGTAAACAAAGATAAATCTTTGCCACAACCCTGTGAGATAAGTTTTGATACTTTCTCTATTTTACAGAAGAGGAAGTTGAACCACAACTCTATTTTAAGTATAGTGTAGAACGTTCCAGAAAAGAATAGTATTTGAGCAATTAAGTTTTACCCTAAGAAGCACATTTCTGCCATGTCGTCATGACCAATAAAATGGCTGATTGGTTTGTGTCATGAGAGGGCAGGTTGTTTTCTCACCAAGGTCTCTGAATGTAAGTCAAAATAGTCCTATTTCAGGAGAGCAAAGTCATGTATGTATCTGGCCATCTGCACCTGAAAGTGCCACGGGGTTCCTGACACCTCTAGGAAGAGGGTTCTCTGTTTTCACATTTTGGATATTGGAAAAGCTCTGCTGACCCTGAGAGGGGGCATTTGGGTGTATGGCAAGCTCTTTCTCACCTCAGGGCTTCCACCTGCAGCACTCTTCCTCTATTCTGCATGAGTGGCTCTTTTTTGTCCTTTAGGCCACAGCACAAAATTGGCTTCCTCAGAAAGGCCTTGTCAGAACACCCTATCTAACATAGCGCACTTGGCATTTTAAAATGGATGGATGAATCAGTTAGACAACACCTGGCTGATTAATCTTAACATCACAAAAAGGAAGACAACCAGACATTATGTGATTCTTGAAGTAATGTGATAGGAAGTACACAGAACCACCAGTGAAATATTTTTGTCAAAACATTGAACCTGGGTTCTCTCTCTCTCTCTCTCTCTCTCTCTCTCTCTCTCGCTCTCTCGCTCTCTCGCTCTCTCGCTCTCTCGCTCTCTCGCTCTCTCGCTCTCTTCCTCTCTCTCTCTGTCATGTGAGGATACAGTAAGAAAGTGCCGCTACAAACCAGGAAGTGGGCCTCACCAGACACTGAATCTCCTGACACCTTGATCTTGGAGTTCTCAGCCTCCAGAACGGAGAGAAATAAATGTTTATTGTTTAAGGCACCCAGTCTAGGGTATTTTGTTAAAGAAGCCCAAGCAGACTAATATAGTGTCTATGAGACACTTAAGTGCAGCCATCTAGAGGGTAAAGAGATACAAAGATCTGGAATCAGGAGAGGTTTGTGGGACAGAGAACAGGATCTAGAAATTTTAGGCATGTAGGTAGTATTTGAGGCCACCTGAGAGGAAGACCTCACTGTGTGAAGTACATAAAGGGAGAAAAGAGCCTGCATCAGAATCTTGAGGGACCCCAACATTTAAGAGAGGGGTGGAGGAAAAGAGGTCTCCAAAGGTTGAGGTGAAATGGCAAGAGAGAAGTTACTAAAGACAATGGTGTCAAAGATCAATCACAAATTCTTTGACATATCAAGTAAGACAGACAATAGATCACTATAATACTTACTGAGAGGGAGCAAAGGCCAGACTGCAGGGAGCTGAGAGGAAAAAATGAGAGGTATGCCAAGGAGGATCAAGGAGAAAAACAAAAGAAATTGAACCTGAATCTGATTAAGCTACTAGGTTTAAGTACTAGTTTTTGGAGGAAATCAATCAATCAATCAGAAGGTAGGGGAATATGTTAAATGAAACCTGAGGTTGCAATCAGCAAAATCCAGACTGGGGAATTCTACTAGATACCTTGTTTCCTCAACAAATAATGGCAACACAGAGACTTTTTTTATTATTAGTTTCAGGTGTACAGAATAACATTAGACATTTACATCTCTCACAAAGTGATAACCCCATCCAGTTACCCATGTGACATTGTACATAGCTATTATAATACCATTGACTATATTCCCTATGCTGTACTTTATATCTTGTGACTATATGTGTGTGTGTATTTAATTATAGTTGACTTTCAATATTATTTTATATTAGTATCAGGTATACAGCACAGTGGTTAGGCATTTATATGACCTATGATGTGATCCCCTGATAAGTTCAGTACCCATCTGAAACCCTACATAGTCTTTACAACATTATAGTATATATTCCCCATACTGTATTTCGCATCCCCATTACTATTTTGTGATTACCAATTTGTGCTTCCTAATCCCTTCATGTTTCTCATCCATCCTCCCAATAACCTCCCATCTAGCAACTATCAGTTTGTTCTCTGTATCTATGAGTCTGTTTCTGTTTTGTTTGCTCATTTATTCTGTTCTTTAGATTCCACATATAAGTGATATCATATGGTATTTGTCTTTCTCAGTCTGAATTATTTCACTTAGCATAATATCTTCTAGGTCCATCAATGTTGTTGCAAATGGTAAGATTTCATTCTTTTTTATGGCAGAACAATAGTCCATTGTATAAATATACCACGATTTCATTATCCAATTGTCTATTGATGGGCATTTCAGTTGTTTCCATATCTTGGCTATTGTGAATAGTGCTGCAGTAAACAGGGGTGCACATATTTTTTTGAATTAGTGTTTTGGATTTCTTTGGATAAATACCCAGGAGTGGAATCGCTGGGTCATAAGGTAGTTCTATTTTTAATTTTTTGAGGAACCTCCATACTGTTTTCCATAGTGGCTGCACCAGTTTGCAGTCCCACCAACAGTGCAACAGTTCCCTTTTCTCCACATCCTCACCAGCACTTGTTTGTTGATTTATTGATATATCTACTCTGACAGGAGTGAGGTGATATCTCATTGTGGTTTTTATTTGCATTTCTCTGATGATTAGTGACGTTGAGCATCTTTTCATATGTCTATTGGCCACCTGTAAGTCCTCTTTGAAGAAATGTCTCTTCATATCCTCTGCCCACTTTTTAATTGGATTGTTTGGTTTTTTGGTGTTGAATTGTATAAGTTTTTTAATAAATTTTAGATATTAACTCCTTATCAGATGTATCATTGGGAAATATCTTCTCCCATTCAGTAGGATGTCTTCTTGCAACAAAGAGACTTTTAATGTGTAGTTGTTATTGGATCCAATTTGGATCTAATTTGCACAATCATAAAAATTCATCTATGATAATTAGATACTTTGAATATCAACTAGGTATTTGATGATATTAGCGAATTATGTTGAGCACAATGATATGGTGGATATATTTTATTGGAAATATATTTTGAAGATACATCTAGAGTATTTTTTCTTAAAACTATATGATATTTGTGGTCAGAAGTTGTGTGGGGGACAGTAGGGCAGCATCAATGAATATAAATTTCATACTCTGTACCCAGAACATAGCCTCTCACTTAGGTATCATTCAATTTTTTTTTAATGAATAAGTATATGATCTAGAACTGCATTCTGGTTTCACCTCTCGTATTAAATAGTTGCATAACCTCAGGCAGGCAGATTTCTTCTCAGATTCCTCCTCTGTGAATGAAAGGTTTCTATATACTATGATCTTGAGGTTTTGTCCTAGTGCCCACTTTCTGATTCTAAACGTAATAGCTACTATAGATGTGTGAGTGATTGCAGAAGCTCTTTAGTTATGGAGAGTCTGAAGAACAAAATGTCACCTAAAACTATATTGTGGCATTAATATTTATTTGCTGATTGCTCCAATATGGTTTTTTGCTTGTTTGTTTTTTGTTGTATGTGTGTGTGTTTGTGTGTGTGTGTGTTTAACATTTTTATTTTTAACTCCTCTTTGGTAGTATAAAAGTCATAAAAGTACAAACCAGACAGTTAAAAATACACTTGACACTTAAAATGGTGAAAAATTTCCTTTACAGGGCCGGCCGAGTGGCGCGTTGGTTAAGAGCTGGCTTGGGACTCCAGCTCTGTGCAGCAGGGCCCCAGTTCGGATCCCACATGAGGGCCAGT